GTGTTTATTAAAGAATTACTTTGATTTATTTTCCTGACTGCGTGAAATTGTTATTATATTCTTTTCCTTCCTAGGTTAGTAAGTGTAAAATAAATATTTTTATATCGTTTATTTCATAACGTTTGGGCGAGACAAGAACAAACTCATAATTGGAAAACAATTGTTTTAGGTCTTTGCTGCCTTGAAACCTCAAATTTCGTTTGAGTTTTATTTTTCATTTAAATTTGAGGTTTTAAGGCAGCAAAGACCTAAGCAAATAATTTCACACTTTGACTGAAACCCAGCAGGGAAAAGAATATAATTAAAGAATTATCTTAAGTGATGAGTTTCAAATGTGAAAATATTTTCCCAAGAAAAATTATCGTAGAGGTAAATCTGAAAACTTTTTATTTGGAGACATGCTGGCATACAGATGAGTGCGTCTGAGAATTATTACGTCAAAACATAAGTATGTCAATACTGAAAACTACATATCCCGTTTAAACAACCAAACTTTAAAAGTTCGAGTTGCTCAAAACTATCATACTGCAAAATCTGCAACCAATTGTGCATATTTCAACAATATTTCTTGACCAAGCAGCGAGTTGAAACAGTCAGAATCCTCCAGTTCGCATTAAGGTTACATTAGGGACGCTAATTGAATACTGGAGTCTTTTGATAATAGAAGCATTTTTACAGCTCGCAGAATTCCGTATAAATCATTGAAATATTTCAAGAGTACAGAATTTCAGGACATACATTCAATAAACAGGACCAGGAAAAGCTGAAATGCCACCAAAAATCGGCTAATTTGTGAATAGAGAAGGAACTTAACGAACTTCAGAAAAATTTTTGTCCAAATTGCATTTGTACAGAAAAAAAATTAACTAACTATATAAGTTCACATTTCTTCCCTTTCATGAAATGACCTAGATATCCCAGTTTATTTTTTTTTTATTATTATTATTGCCAATCAGTTCTGGAAATTATATCTCGTAATTATGCTTCCGCTTTTGTCACTCTATCAATTCATTATATTCGAATGTTTCAATCTTCTTAAGAATGTTTCAATATTCTCTCCCATAAAGGAGAGGAGAGAAAATGAACCTTTTGTCTCATGATTAGATGTTTCAACCTAATTCTTACGTTTCTACTTTAAATAATTTATTTATCATAGTGACTCCCGTTTTTTCTGTTCTTATTCCTTGGTGTATTCATCTGAGATATTTAGTCCTAGCTACGTATCATGTTCCGCGCTGTAAAATTCATCATTTCTATAGTTGACTAACGTAGTTTTTTAGACTAACGACAATGTAGTTTTTTACACAATACCTGACAATTTAAATTTATAATAATGTACGCAGACAATCTTTCTATTCAGCCTCCGTAATTTGATACCCTTCGGTTAAATGACTGTATCGTCGGCACAGCTGTGTGCAAGTTCTCCAACAACAAAAAAGTCTCCGGCTTCTACACATGTATCTAAATTTACTGTCAGCCGCAACAAATCGATAGCATTTTTGCTATCTATAAAATCCTGTTTACCATAATTGTCTAAATGATAATGCAGGGGCATAATTTTTGTTGGGTTCATAATATTTTACTAATTCTTTTTGAACTGCAATAAATGTTATTTCAAAAATAGTTTTATCAAAAAAATCTTAATATAGTGAAATACTGAAATAATATTGGCGCAAATACATCAATGCTTATTAACCGAATTATTTACCACTTTAGATGTAACTAGTGAGGGTGTGTGCAACATGAAAGGAAATCTAATTGGCATACTACAATGTTTATGATGATCAGTACCTGAAAAATTACTACTTTGAGACAGCACTCAAAGACTATTATAAAGACGTTTATGTCTCCTATAATTCTCTGGCGTTGATCGAATTGTATAATCAAAATTACGAGGTTTACTAAAAGACCCAATATCACACATAAATAGTAACATATCTGACACAAAGTGTAGATTCTGTAGATTTTACGTACTAGAAAGTTGTCACTTATTTTAAATGGCCATAGGCCAGATAATAACAAATAAAATTTGGAAAGGTTGATGAAAGATAACGTCTTGGCCATTTGAAACTATGAACTTGACTTTAATATGAAAACTGAAATTAACTGCTGTTCTTAAGCATTTTATAGGCTATGCTTCGCGGGCAAGTGAAGTGATATAGGTCGTAATAGTTCAGTCAGAACGAAAATCAACCGTTAATATATGTCTTTAACACAGTCAACTTTTTATATTTTGAACCGAATTCTATTTTAAAAAATGTAACTTTTTTAGATTTTGCTCTTTTCACATTTATGTCTGTCGAATTATACATCAATTTTTTATTCACTCATTTTTTCTTAGTCAGCGTTCATCAATCAGAGTGGTCTAGTGAATTAATCTACATTTTTTATTCAGCACAAAATTTAATGAGTCAAAAAAGCATATAATTAGTTCAGAGACGAATTGTCTTACATAGCCTAGATTGCGGGATTTAATGAATTATTGATATAAGTACAAACAGATGATTTGGTTCACACTAGATGTTTTACAGAAGTCTTTGGTAACACTTAATACGTAATTAATCTTGACCATGAAGAATTTTCTGTTCTCGAGACTACAGCACTTTTATAAAATATCCTGCACGATTTGTATTATTGATTATGTCAATTGGTTTAATATATTCTTTGTTTTTCTGCAAGAATTATTTAAGGTTTCGAGAAATAACAAAAAACTTTTTTATAGTTTACTAATTCACAGTAAAATTAGTTATTCGATCGATACCAATGACGTTTTCGAGATTATATATTTAATTGTTGATAATAAAAATATTAACAAAACAAATTTGCAACTTTACATAAGTAAAAATATGTCCTAAATTAATTATACAACTAAGCTACATGCTGCAATTCCAGTACACTTTGGGACCCCCGTTAAAGAACTCATGACAAGCATGAAAAGATTTATCTAATAAAACATTTGGAGTGATTTCTTAAGATATATAAAGCTGATGCTCGTTTTCAGATGACGCGAAAGATTATTGAACATTTTTATTCTAAATTTGAATTGTTTGGTTAATTCTAAATTTGTAATTCTAAAATAGAGACGTTAAGGCATTAAGGAAACAACAAAACAAACTTAGATGAGAAATAATAAAAGATTTCCGCAGATGAGAAAAAATGCATTTCTTATTATAACCTAATATTTTGGTCTTTTGATGTGGAACACTATCTAATTTTAAGCATCAAATAATTTGGAAATAACTTGCAGGGAAGAATTACAGAATTAAATATTATCAGGTCGGTTTTGTGAACCATTAAAACTGGAGCATTAAATCGTAATTGGCTCTGTTTTTTTTCGATTGAAATCAATTATATATTTTATTTTCCTTATAACTACAATAATTCGCCATATTGGAAACAATGGTGAACCTAATATCGATATATCGATATACTTTGTCGTCAAATTTCCAATGAAAATTAAAAAACTACTGGAATATGCATGTTTCTTTTATTTTAAACAAATCTTTGGTTATTATACAATTGTTTAATTAATTTTTCAGATAGCTGAAAATAGGGAATTTTAGATGCATTAATGCATCCAATGAAAATTAGGAAAACAGTTGGGAGGTGTGTGTTTATTTTATTTTCTGCTAAATCTACGGCTACTTCCAATTAGTGCGACATTTAAACTCAGCTTTTTCTTGCGTTTTATATCTATTCAGGAAAATTTTTGCTCATTAAAGACGTGTAGGAATAAGCCACTTTCATAGTCTGTAAAAACCAAAATTTTCATATAGAGTTTTATTTAGTTGAGAACGACTCTACCTGCATCGCAGCAGAGTTCGTCATGCGAAAAAATGGTCCCGCGGTGAGACCAATTGGCTTTTGAGCTATCATCATCATTACTATTAACAACTTTTGTACCTCTTTGCTTTGTTTTTGCCATTGACTGGCAGCTATTGCATCCGATATTGCTAAACCCTAAAAATCCCTTAATCCTAGTTCACTCTAGCTCTTCTAGAATGACCGGATCACTTGAAAACATTTTTACTTTACGCACCTCCTCCGATATTTCATTCGCATGCCATGTTAGGATAAATATCTGAGCCATTACATACAAGTTAAGGAATACAACGGCTAACCAAGCCGAAGTGGTGTCGACCTGAAAATCATAATAAAAAATATTTCGTGTGAACTGGTATTTGTCGTGAGAGTCATTTTTTCGTACGCAAGCATTTTGAGACGTACTTTTCTTGCAAAGCGATTTTGCAATTCGCTATTAAATCAGGTTTTTCATAGAGAAACTTTTTTGAAAAAG